CTTACCGATTATACATTCACCCCATATGAATTGAATGTATAATCTCCATTTAGTGTTCACTCTATACGAACGAGTCCGTTTTTCAAAGATTTTCAAATTTCCTTTCAGTACTCATCACTAGAGGTAACAAAAGTCTATCTATCAAGCTTCAAGTGATATTGATGGTACTACTTTTTCCATCAATTTAATGAGTCTAAAGCATAATTATAAGTTTCATAGTTTAGCCTCAGAGGGCCTGCGCTGATGAACATTTTTAAAAAGATCCAAAGAATGGATGTTATTCAGAAGCATAAACAACTATACAATATGACACTTCTATACAACTACATGTTTGTGACTAAGCTTTTCATAATCGATTACAGTTCATTGAAGATTCAAAATTACACTGAGGAAAATTGAAAAATTGGGCGTGGGTGTTTTTATTTTCCGCACTCGTACCCACAACCTCAATTATGCACATATTATATTAAGGCGTGCTACGCCATAGGAAACCCCTGATTTGCTTTCTTTCTATGATCAATTGAAAAGCCTCATTATATTCGGACCAAATTCCAGGTCGAGCAACCCGGCACAGAAACTGCCAGTTCTGTTATATTCCTGGCATTTCCGGTGGGTTCCGGCAGGAAACAGCGAGTTTTCTGCGGGTTTTCGCCGGAAATTCGTGGACTACTGCTTCAGGAATCATCGTCCTGGGATATGATGAGGCTTTTCAGTTAATCCTAGAAAGACAGCAAATCGGGGGTTTCCTATGGCGCAGCACGCTTATCTTTATTAATCTTGTTTATTGACGATCAATTCGATATGTGCGTGCAATTAGAAAAAGAGAAAGACTATCTAATATCATATCTCGTACAGAATGTGAATTAAAAATGGTGAGAAATTTAATAACAATAACAACTCTTCTTGGAATAATATATTTACCTTTTGCTTTTATAATTAAGTTTTGGGTCTTTTTTTCCAACATCATCAAAAGATCATTTTCGTATTTCTTCGATTGATTTTGATATATCAACAACAGTTGTGATTATTTCAGTATTCAAAACAACACATTCAATTAGAACTGCTGTATCACAAAAATTTCGCTGTTTTACATCGAGTGGCAATTACAAGAATAAGAGAACATTCATAAATAATAGACTTCTATTACAATCGATTTTTGTTTTGTTTAAATCAAGACTAGAATATTTCTTCTAACATCAAATGCTTGTAAAATAAATTGAAAGAAAGCGTCTTTTATTTCTTATAGCATCGCTATAATGATTAAATTGTATCAAATCAATATTCCAGAGATAATACGACGAAGAAGATTTGCTGACAATGATATTCATTTATATCAATAAATAATTTTTATTTTATTAATTACTCTATTGAGAGAAGAACATTTAGAAAACTGATTTATACCTCAAAATCGAAGAAAAATAATAACCGATCTATAGTTTATTTACTATATGATATAGCGTTTTTAAAAGTAACGTTATATTTATTCTTATCAAATGCATTATCAGTAACATTACATGACAAAATATATTTGAGTATTAAAACAGGGTGAAGTTTGCACAATTTAGTTAAAATAAAAGCAAAATCATGAACATATTTTTTCTATTCATTACTTTCAGTTTATTCGTCAGTTATTGCTCGAGTAAGCCAACATCATCATTAGATGAAGCGTGGAAATTATTTAAAAAACTTCATAATAAAGAATATAATTCAATTAATGATGAACAACTTCGGTAAGAAGAATAAATTTAAATGAGAAAAAGAATTTCTTTTTCTTTTTTTAGGCGAGATATTTGGGAAGAAAATGTTCGAATGATTCAAAAACATAATTTCGAATCTGATTTAGGTATTCACACATTTACAATGAAAGTTAATCAATTTGCTGACCTTGTTCGTCTTGATTTTTTCTTTTAAGTTAATAATTGATTTCATTTGAATTATTCTAGACAAACGAGGAATTTGTTAAACAAATGAATCAATTAAAAATTAATCCTGAAAAGAAGCCAAATAAAAAATTTCATTTTTCATCAAATATAAATCTTCCAAAATCCGTTGGTAAAAGAATTCATATTTTTTCTCGAAATAAATTCTTTATTCATATTATCATTTAGATTGGCGTACAAAAGGATATGTTACACCCGTTAAAAACCAAGGACAATGTGGATCATGTTGGGCTTTTTCTACAACTGGTACACTTGAAGGACAAATTGCAAAAAAAACACAAAAACTTGTTACTTTATCTGAACAACAGCTTGTTGATTGTTCAACAGATTATGGAAATAGCGGATGTTGTGGAGGTCTAATGGATAATTCATATAAATATCTGGAAGACAATCATGGAATTGATACGAATGCAAGTTACCCTTATGAAGCTATTGATGGAAAATGTCGATTTAACGTTAAAACTGTTGCAGCTGATGTTACTGTAAATTAAATTTTCTTTTAAATTAAAATAAGATTCTTTGTTTTGTTTTTCAAGAGTTATGTTGATATAAAAGCCCAATCAGAAGCCGATCTTCAAGATGCTATTGCAACAATTGGTCCAATAGCAATTGCTATTGATGCTAGTCATACTTCATTTCAGTTTTATTCAGCGGGTGTTTATTCGGAAAAAGATTGTTCATCAACATCCTTAGATTTTTCACTTTTGGCTGTTGGATATGGTACAACAACAGATAATCAAGATTATTATATTTTAAAAAATCAATGGTCAACACAATGGGGTATGGAAGGGTATGTTTTCATGGCAAGAAATAAAAATAATCAATGTGGTATTGCAACAATGGCTAGTTATGCACTTATTTAAAATAAACATTGTATTTTAATAAATTAAATAAAAAAAACTATTCTTTTATTCTTATTTTTCTCTTTATATATTACACTCTGAGAGATATGCAAGTGTCAGTTGTTTTTCAAAATCCATATTCTACAAGAGCATTAAAATAACCTCGTGAATTATCAGCATTGAAATTTTCTGCGCTGAATTTTGAATTTCAAAAATTGTCTCCATTTTTTTTCGCTATACTATGTAAAGATTAATTATTGGAATTAGTTTACATTCATAACCTGAATCTCCTAAATGACCAAACCAATAAGATCCATGAAACTATTCGATATTCCAGAACTTGACCCCATATAATCCATTCTCTAATAATGCTAATTCTCTTCAATCAATCAGAACTTTTGCATTACCAGATGAAACATGAGGATTTAATGTTCCAAATTGAAGATTTAGAAATAGAATTCCATATGCTGAATATTCATTTTTACAATATAAACCACTGTTAGTAGTATGCCAATATTCGTCAGATATTTTAATAATCTAGAATTATATTGTTCGAAGCAAAATAAATCTTTGAATTTAAAGTTCTAATTGTAATGAAAATTAATCGGGTGATTTAAACTTCTAATCAAAATGAGATATAAGTCATAGTGATATAGCATCTGTGTTTTCTAACGATTAGTCATAGAGGGGAAAATAACTACACGTATTAGTAAAGAGTGTGTGGGTAGGGGTGTAACAGTTCTCAGATTTAAGTTCACATCAAATGAGCGAAAGATCTGTTCGGCCAGTTCTTTTGATCTGATCTGAACTGTTGCAGCAGATAAGTTCAAATTTTGATGGTGTGGATGTGGGGTGTAAATACACACATATCACCGAACCCACCCACACCCTCATCTGTGAGACCGGTTGACCGGTATGCCGGCCGGTTCGCTCCGCTCTGAACTTTTTGAACTGGTACCGGTCTGAAAAAAGTAGACTGGTTCAATCTATGGTGTGGGTGTCGTCTTCCACATTCATTAATATCCAAACCCACACTCAGACGCACACCAACAACCACACACACCTTTTATAGAATTATTAATTATAAATTGATTTCTACTTTTTCATTTATTTGAGGAGTTCACACTTATCTAATAAGACAATTGTACAAATATCTGACCAGTCCCTTGAGAAAAGACTGAACACGTCTTATAGATCCTCTGAATTCTAAAATCTTTATTGCTTAAGTTTATAAAAAAAAAGTCCTCATTTAAAAAAAACACCTTTCCTGGACAGCAAAAAATTGTGATAAAGATTTTTAGGAAACATTAACGAGTAGTGTTATCGATGTAGCCATTGCTGTTTTCTGATTGATTAGAGCAGACAGACACACCTTAAAGATATTTACGGCCGTATAACCGTTTCTTTCAGAAAAGGGAATATAAACCGATTAATTAGAACCCTAATAACAGCTAGAAATACCAAATTTTCAACGTATCGAACAGTAATTAATATGGCCGTTTTTAAATTGATTAAATGTCTAAAATGTAATTTAGAAAAATAATTCTATCAAATAAAATAAAACTAGCGCAAAGAGTAAATCGATGCAGTTTAAATAATAGAAGAACGAACACAAAACATGACATGATCTTTTCTATAGTTAAGATGTAAAATGGGATTACATGATTTAGTGCTATATACGTTATTGCTGTTCGAAATATTTGTTTACGCACATGTAACTTGTTTTTGCAAGTTAAGCTAAATCTAATGATCACAATAGAAATTAATTAGATTTTTTTCTAATCTCTAACTCAAAGAAAGGTTTACTTCGCATATCAAATGCTCGTAGAAACTTCTTAAAAACTTTCTTCGCTTTAGTTTCACTGTTATTTTGTTCAATAGTTCAGTTTTAATATCAAATATTTGAATACTGATTGTCTAACGAACCTATACCTATCAATCGTTTAATGAGTTATTATTATTTGATACATCGCGTATGGTACAGGTTGATTTTTCTTTATCAAGGTAATAATCATGATGTATTAAAATGGGTTCTTGTACTTACATGAAATTCAATCAGCATTATTAGAAATGTTAAAACTTATATGCATGATTCTTTTTTAGAATACTCTTATTTTCAATAAATAGAATATTATAATTCCAATATACGGATAAGTTTTTAATGGTATATTGTGATCATTAATTTATCGAAACTATAATACATGTAACTTACAAAATTCAATTAATGAGTGAGTACTGGCAATGATATGAATCGATTAAGAGAAAACAATAACGTAACGACTAGAATTGAATACGTTTTGTTTGGCATCAGTCATTATCGTTTGACACATCGGCAGCCAGACACCTGCAACAGCAAAAATTGCTTTTTTTGTAATAACAAGAAGTGATTTAATGAGAAAAATGCCAACATTTTAATTATTAACAACTGTGACATTGAAAACTCTTTGGATCGTGATCAATGGAAAATTCAAGTAAATATGTGTTCTAATTTAAAGAAAATAATAATAATACAAATGCTAGAATATGCATCTCACAGTGGATTGTGGACAATGAATGTACTGGGAATCCAGACGATACTACATACTATCCGTCAAACTAGAGGGCGTGAGCTTTTCTTCACTCCCGTATCGACACCCACACCCACAACATGGGAGAGTATTCGAAAGTCCTCTCGTTATATGAACGCGCTAGGGAAATCTGGCAACATTCACTATACCTCCCAATGATCCACATATTAAAGGCGTTCAAAAGAGTATTGAAATCGCAAGTAAGAAGTTGTAAAGGATTTTTCAACAATAAAAGAAGAGTATTCGCTGTTTTGAATTTTCATATTCATTCGTTTGCTATGTCTCCTGTTCACCTATAGAAGAAACTCTGCATAAGCCATCGAAGATGCAATGGCAAAGCCTACTGATACAGCAATATATATATACGTACACTAATAGAAAGTGCCATGGATTTGTTTGTGTCTCTCTCTGAATGATAATTGCTTTTTGTAAGATAGTTTAATCGAATTTCTTGAGGAATCCAGTAACGGTGTGTGAATCAAAGCTCCACGTAGGACGTCCCATGGGACGGGATGGGACGAGCATTTTTAGAAAATTTTAATAGCAGACAAGAAAGTATTGAAGTCTCTTTCGATGTGATTCTATTATGTGCGTACTATCTCTATCCATTAAAATTATATTTATTGACGTAAGCGACTGCCTTCAAATTTTATTCTCATATTTTAAAACATTTTCGGTATATGTTGTTCAATTTACCAAAAATATTTTTAAAAAACGAATATAAGCTTTTAAAAGTCATCTAAGACAACGATCTTAATTTTGATGGATAGAGATAGTATGCATATCATACAATCATATCGAAAGAGATTTTGATTCTTTCTTGTCTGCTTAAAATTTTCTAAAACTGTCCGTCCCATCCCGTCCCATGGGACATCCAACGCGGAGCTCTGGTGCGAATGGATGTCTTTCTCACGAGAACTCGCTGTTGAAGAATAATTGAAAGTTTGCATATACAATTGATTCAATAAGGCTCTGAAAATAGAAATTAATTTTATCGGTCTGACCGAAAGCGTCATCTATTGATTGTATTCATATATTTTGATGCCTTTTACGTTTACCAATTATAGCAATCTTAGAGACGCATATCGTCATATTTTCTTCTTTACTGGTTGCCAGTTCATGCCCGAACCATCAATAAATTTTTACTCAATTCTTGCTGGCGTGTCTGCGTGTTTGGCATCTGTTTTTGGTAAACTAACATTCAGTCAGGCAACATTTGCGTCAATCCAAACAATTTTTTATATCGTTCTATTTATCTTTTCTAATGTTTTTATGTGGCGTTGTTATTCAAAAGCATTAAGTTTATCAACAACAACTATTCAACCAACAATTGTTACTAAAACAAGTAATTTTCTTCTTTCTGCCCTAGTTGGATTTATATTCTTTTTTGAACCGATTAATTTAACTTGGCTATTTGGCTTTATATTAATTCTTATTGGCGTTTATTTAATTTCAACTAAAAATGAACACACCAGCACACAAATATCAGCCCATATCGACTGAAGATGACGATGGACGACCATCAGCATCTATAATAGAATTAACAAGTGGAAAACCATCCATCGATGATTATCGTTCAATTTCTAATTTTGGATCTGCTTTTTCATATTCACGACAAATTAATCTTCATACTTTAACAGGTGAACAGATTTATTAATTGTCTAAAGAAAAGAAACCATCGATTCATAATTTTTTTTTCTAGAAAAACGTCCATTAGTTGGCATTGAAAAATTAGCACATTATTTTGTAATTTTGTTTTGTGCTATTTTGACCATACTTCTTCTACCTTGGTCATTGATTTTTGCTCTTAAAGTAACGTATTCTTCTTTGTTTTACTTTAAAGAACAGCTGATATTTAACTATTGCATAAATGTTTTTAGCGTGTTCGTCGAAATGAACAATTAGTTATCTATCGTCTAGGTCGTGTTCAAACTCCAGCTCGTCGACCAGGTCTGACTTTAACTCTACCATTTGTTGATTATGTAAAACGTATCCGAACAACACAAAATAGTCTCGCTATTTCTCCTACCCAAGTAAATGAAATATTATTTCTTAATATAATTATTTATGAGTTGTTTTAGATTCTTTGTCAAGACAATTCAATAATTGAAGTTCATCTTTCTATTGAATATAATATTGATGATCCAATACTTGTTTCAAATAGTCTTAATGATATAACGATATCATTAAAATCTTTAGCACGCTCGACATTGGTTTCATTTATTAGTAAAAGTGATGGTATGAAAATTGAACAACAAATTTATACACTTGAACTTTCGCTTAAAGTAAAAAGAAAATCATTTTTTGCTGTATTTATATTTTATTTTTTTTTATAATATTCAATATTTAGAATGATCTCAACTGTTTTGTTCGTAAATGGGGTATTGAAATAGCTAAAGTTAATATGTAAGTAATAGTTGTTCGAAATAAAACTCAATTGTTTTTATCTTTTGTTTTTTCAATTAGTGTGCAAACAAAACTTATTTCAACAGCAGAAGAAAATCAACATAACCAAGCATCATTACATCCTGCACTCAATGTATTTACAAAAATTTTTGCCGGTCTTATGCAACAACAACAACCAGCAAGCGCAGCACCAACAACAGGTAAAACAAATGAATCTATGTAGAATCCTCAATTAAATTGCGTGAACAATATTTTTGAAAAAGTCGAGCAATTATTATATATTAAAATTTATTTGGTTTAATGAGTCTATTCCATTATCTTAAAAACTATTGATTAAATAATATATACATAATATTGAACATAATGGGAGAGAGTAGAGCAGTGAATTTGGCATGCGAGGATGAAGCCAAAAGCATCGATAACTGACCCTAACAGATTTGAAACATTTTCTAATTGCAAAAAAATAATGATATATAGACAAAAAAATCGCCTTCTCAGCTCTCAACTCCATTCTCTCATCGTTCATGACAAACGCGATTAATAGACTGTAAGATACATGTTTGTAGAAATTCATCAAATTTATATTGACACTGATATGCCACAGATGTTGTTGACTACGATGACGTATCTTTCATTAACAACTGTATTTCTGAAGGATTGAAGTAAGAAAAAGATGTTGATGAAATGTGTACAAAATAAATTGAATAAAATAATCTATCTGTAATTAGTAAAATGGAATTTTAAATTTTATTTTCGTAAGAATTTTGATCAGAACATCTCATTTTCGAAAATGAAAAACTACAAACTTATTTTTGACCATCGAGAGAATTCTTGATATGGATTGTAAACATATTTTATAAAATATGCTGTTTCTATTAATAATATAATGTTCATATATTAAGTAGAGATTTCGTAAACATCTACCTGAATATGATTGTTTCTTTCTCTTTGTTATAGTTAAATCAACTGATGATTCTATTTCACCTGTTCTTCATTTGCTTGTTCAACGACTTAAAGCTGTTTTAAGCGAAGAACTTGTGCGACAAATCAAAACAACTTATCAATTTAATATTGCTACATTGGGACAGTTTTATTTTGATCTTAAAAATGGTTTATAAATACTGAATTATTATCAATATAAAAATGTCTCTAAATCATTTATTTTTAGGTCACGGGTCGTGTGAGGTTGGTCGATGTCCATTATCATCGGTTGATGTCACAATAACATTATCCAATCCAGAAGATTTAAGACTTTTGTCAACTAGTGATTCCAATGAACTTGTACAAGCTTATTTAAGTCAACGTATTACAATCGATGGATCGTTACAAGATGCGATGAATTTAAAATACGTTGCTGATGCACTTCGACGCGATAATATTCTTCTTTTCAGTCCAAATATTTAAAAATACAAATTCTTTTTTCTTTGAAAATAAAATAATAATAAAAAACGATAATATTCTTAATTTCTAGATCATGTTGTCGAATTTAATCGCTCGATATCAGTTCATAAGTAACCAATTGATTCGTTATTCTCAATTTTTATTTTCTTCACCAACATTTGCATTTGCTGATTGTCCATCAACATTAGCAACACCAAAATCATCTTTACCCGATATGTCAATTTTACTAACTCAAAAACATCGTGCAACTATTGAACGTCGTCGAGTTCGACGTCATTCTGATTTGCCAATGTCATTAATGAAAAGACTTGGTACACCTCGTCAAGACCTTCATCAATGTTTAGAATGTGGCACTTGGCATGAAAAGAAAACTATATGTGGACATTGCTATGATCGTATTAGAAAAGAAACTCAAGCTATGAAAGATTCATATCCAAATAAAGATGAATTTAATTATAATCATCCTCAACAAGAAATCGTTTATGTTTATAAAAATGATAAAAAAATTCAAGACAATACAAAACGTATCGTTGAAATTGAACGTGAACGACCAACATGGTTTTCGAAAAATCTAATACCAAAAATTAATACAACGAAATAGGAAAAAATTAAGTAAAGCTTTGTTAGTTTTGTTATTCAAAAATAAAGAAAAATGATACAAAAAAAGCGCACATGTTTTTTTGTTTTTAAAAAGCTCGTGCATAATTATCATAAACATGTGAATCTGGCATTGTTTCTCGTATATGATCTAATTGTTCAAATAATATTCCATAGTCATCTTGATTATATTGTGGACGAATTGATATAATTGGTTTTGGTAAATGATTTATCAATTGTTTATAATGAAGTAAATTATAATAATCATCTTGATTGTTATTGTCAGCTGTTTCAGAATAATTTTCCTGTACTTGCATACCTATGCATGAAACCGATGTTATAAGTATTGGTAGTAATGATCTGTTTCGATTGAGTTTCATAGAATGTGGAGTTGCCGATGAAGTTGATGCTGCATAAGTATATAGGCGTGTTGTTTGTTCACCTTTTGATGGTCGCTGAACAGGTGGTAATATATTTTCATGTTTAATAATGCTCGGTTGCTTTTTGTTCAATACTGGTGCAACAGGAAGACGAAAAGGAGGAGTTTGTTTTGAACTCATAGTTGAACTTGTTTTAGGTGGTGTATTTGGTTTTTTCTTTGTTTGTATTGCACGATTCACGATCGAATCAGGAGGAATACAAGCATTGATTTTACTACGACAAATATTAAATGTTTTACTGTTGACTTTTTGTTTGCTTTTTTGTCTTTGTTTTAAAGATTGCGAGCAAGTGTTTGTCGCATAATTTGTAGTCACAAATTTCTTCTCCGGGAAATTACTTTGTGGAAATGTCGATGAATGCATTTGTGAACCGGGAATTTTTACACGATCAAATAATTTAGTTTTCCTTAGCGATGATTTCCCATTGTTTGTTATATTATTATTATTATTATTATTATTATCATTATCATCTTGATCTTCCAAAAGGATCTTCACTGATCCCTATTATTAAAGTGAAATAGTAAACATCAAATTTTACTAAAAACAATTATGTTATTCATGAATGATATTTATCTTGTTTTTCTCGTGAGAATCAGGATCACAAACAAGTGAAATAAATTTCTTTAAAGTGATTTACTGAAAATCAAAACGATTATATTGCATACTTATCTGAAAAGTTTGCTTTCTATAATGATAAACTATTTTAGATATTTTTATAGTCAACTGATATACGAAAAATTCAAGTTTTTTGCTTTTAAACAAATAACTAAATAAATTATTACTTCTCCGGATGGTTGATTATTTGGGTTTGGTTTCGAAGATATGACTTCAATACGTTTTTTCTGTGTCTCTTTAATAAGCCTTCGTAATTTAATTAAATCGTACTGTATTCGTGAATGTAATGGATAAAAATCGATGTAGTTTTTATCATTGATTTCTTTCATTCCTATTGTTGTTATTGAAGGAATGTTATCTTTTACATCAGTAAATTTTGTTTCTACAATTTGCTCTTGTGTTAAGGTTGCGATATCAGGGCTAGATGAGCTAGAGTCTGTTTTTAGAGGTGACAAGAGTTCATGTTTAACAGCTGCTGTTACTTCATGCCAGTGTCGTTTTATTGTACGATAACGATGTAACCTTTCAGTAACACGCATATTAAAAAATTGTAATGGCGGTGTTGTTGGCGGTGATACGCATGAAACGAGTGGATTTTCAAATAAATTTTGTAGATCTTTCATACTAGATGGTGAACGATGAGGCGAACAAGGAATCGAAGCCATTCTAGTACTTATCAACATTTCGGGTTTTTTCAAACTAGATGAGATGAATATTTTATGATATAAACTTAAAGCTAAGACATACATTCCCACAACTTACTTCAGTTTCTTTGATATATTTAAGACCAAGAATATGAATTAAAATTATAAGATACTGTTTATTTTTATTTTATTGTGTTTTGTCGAGATATTTACCGCATAGGAAGTAAAAGAAATGTAGTGGAACTATATGTGAAATATAAATATGTTTTTCTATTTAAATTAGTTTTGATACAATACAATCATCGACTTTATTCGAAATGTGTGAGAAAAGAGAGAGTGAGAGAGAGAGAGAGAGAAAAGAAGACTTTCATTTGAATGGCATTGACTCTGTAAACAAACGATAGAATATCTTTGCTAATCTAAGCTATAAATCAGCTTATAATTGAAAAAAATGAATGATTCTGCGCTTGCAATGTATTTTTATTTACTTATTTTTTTCAAGTATTCAACTTGATAGGAATAGTGTATTTTGGAAAAAAATTAATTGACTGAATTTAATTGATTTTTTTCAGATATAATTGAAAAAAGATCTATTTAATTGATTTCGAAAATGTCTAAACGCAAAAATCCAATTAAAAGAAAAAAAGACTCAGCAACAAATGAAAAAGAAGGCATTGTTCAAATAGTCATGAGCAAGTAAGAAAATAAATTTTAATGTGTAAATAAAAACAAAAGTTATTTTCAATCATAGATATTTTGAAAAAAAAAAGGAAGAACAACAAGAAACAATAAAATCAACGCAAAATGATATTAATAATAGTATTGAAACAACAAACGTTGTTAAGTAAATATGAACATATTTGAAATAAACTATATTTCAATATACTTAATCAGCAGATAAATATTATGTTCAGGTTTTATTTTAAAAGAAAAAGGATTTACTTAAAGTATTTTCTACAGATTTGACTTAACAAATAAGCCAATAACTATTGCATAGCCAATCAAGTATTTATATAGACGCCGAAATAAGAGTAAAACTAAATATATTGCTCAAATAAAGTAAGAACATTTGACTTTAACAGTATAAGCATTAAATAGTTACGTAGTTCACGAAATAATTATGTTAGAATGATTTAGTGGATATAATTTTGTTGAAGAAATTTGATTAACGGGGGACGAGGCAGCTATATTTCGGAACGATGTCAAAGATATTCTTGGAAATGTTTGAGCTTTTTCATTATTTGTATTGACCAATGTTTTGCTATATAAATCTTAGTTCAATCTACATTAGTGTCTATCAATTCTTAAAGTTAAAATCCCGGTTGACCCTCTATGGATACTCAAAATTTGAAGTACAATAATATATTTCAATTCTCGTGTGTGATAGACTGTAAGTAATCTTGAGTCCAATTTATACAATGAAACACTAGTCAATAGAAGTATTGAAAAATCTCAAAAGTTTCCAAGAATACTTTTAGCATAGTTCGAGATACAATGAATTAAGCTAGAATACAGGAGTCTCACTTTTTCCTTCTAGTGTTGGATTCTAATAAAGGTTTCAGTTAATCGGATGTATGTTATCTTTAATTTTGAAACCTTTCAAAATGCCATCAGTATATTGACATCCCAATTTATATCTTTATGATCAAATATTAAATTCAACGTATATTTTTGTAGTTTTCTACACTATGACTGGGTAGGAGTTTAAAATGAGGACGCTGATTTTACTAGCTAAACATGTAAGCAAAATGATTACTGATTGAATCGTACTGATGTTAAAATTGTAAACTGAAAATTGTTTCAAACGAGAAAAATGAAGTTTTTCTAAAATAAAAGTAATTAATAGAAAACGACGAAAAATAGTCAATAAAGATGGAAATGATCAAAAATGGGAGCCGGCTCATTGGAAGGTAATTCATTGGAAACTAATTATTTAATACTTTATCATCTGTCTCTTTCAAGGAACATTGGAATAATATTTTAGCGATGCGGATAACGAACAAACATTTAGAACCTCGTGGTTGTGATACCATTGGTGATACAATTACTGATGAAAAAGTTTGTTACAAAATTTTCTTTTATTTTTATTGAGTAAATCATACAAAATATGAATATAAATAGGTTCGTCGTTTACATATTCTTGTTAGCTTAATGTTATCTAGTCAAACAAAAGATACAATGACAATAGCAGCTATGGATCGTTTACTTGAACATGAATTTACGGTTCAATATGCACTCGATATTGATGTTGATCAATTAGCAAAAATAATTTATCCAGTTGGCTTTTGGAGAGTAGGAAAAATAGAAGAATTTTGTTTTTTATAAAATTTTGTTGAATAATTTTTAGCGTAAAGCTCAATATATTAAAGATACATGCCAGATATTACGAGATAAATACAATGATGATATACCGAATACCATCGAGACTTTATGCGCATTACCAGGTTAGATACATCATTATAGAATAATACATAGCTACATAAATTTATTATTGATAGGTGTTGGTCCGAAAATGGCATATTTAAGTAAATTACAATGGGTTTATTTTGTTTTGTTATATATTTTTATTCCTTTTCTTTAAGCCATGGATTTCGCTTGGAAATGTAATCAAGGCATTGGAGTTGATGTGCATGTACATCGTATTTCACATCGACTTCATTGGTTACCATACGATACAAAAACACCAGAACAAACACGTTTAGCACTTGAATCATGGATACCACGGTATTTTATATATTCAAATGAAATCATGTTCGTTTTTTAATTTAATTTAATTCTAGAGATCTATGGAATCAAATCAATCATAATATAGTTCGTTTTGGTCAAACACAATGTTTGCCAGTTCATCCTCGATGTTCGACTTGTTTAAACAGATATATTTGTCCAGCAAGTACCAGTGAAGATACAAAAAAAACTGCTAAACAAAAAATATAAAATTTTATTCATTTGTTTGCTTTGTTGCTTTGGTTGATTTTTTTATTCCTGTATTTGATCTATGTATAAAGTCAGAATATGTATTTAACTTTAAGAGAAAATGAAATCTAGAAGAAATAAAGGTATTTATATTTGATAATTTTTTCTATTCGTTAATCTTATGCATGTATGATTTACTTTTCGTATTGCATTGTACTTTTTGAAAAGCATTGGATTACAATTATGCTTAGAACATTTGGTATAGCAAAAACAAAATAAAGCGAAGAGCAATCTTTAAATAATAAGTCATCGAATATGATAGAAATTTTTGTCAGTTTTTCTACCAACAAGACTTGACATTTAACAACAATTTATTTTTCGTATTTCGAGTTTAGTCAATATTATTATAAATATTGCTGCATTTGGAGAAAGAAAAAAAAGGATTTGTATGCATTTCTGCAGGTGAACTCGAACGAAACATATTACTTTCACCTTGGTAATCGCAGGCCTCACGACAGCAAGTTGCCATTCAATATTACCATCGACTACGACAAAACAACACCGAAGGAAGAAAATGTATGTTCGCTTTTATGAAACGTTTATCATAACAAAAATTTCAAATATTATACATAGTTGTATATAAATTATCGCTTCTTTTTAAGCTAAAAAAATTACAACTATTTTCATTCTTTCTTATCATTAAGAATGACATGACAGTTAAAGTGATCAAAAAAAAAGCATATATATATATATACCCTATGTATAATAATAATAATAATAATAATAACAGTCTTAATAAAAAGAAATATATGAAAACATTTATAAAAGTCAATTCTATTGCATTTGAGCCTCTTCGCGAAAAAGAAAAAGAATAAGAACAAATATTTATTTTCCTTTAGTTTAATTTCATTTTTACTACAATCAATAGACAAATCACTATTGTCAGATTCAATAGAAATAATGTCGGACATAACACGTTTTACTTCCAATCGTTCTTCACTGTCGTTTTCGTTTGAATATACTATTCGATATTATCTTCAACGTCTGCATCTTCGTGCACAATCAGCATTTATATCACTTCAAGCTATGCCACGTTATCCATTACGATTTAATCAAGTTCCACCGCTCTTTTGTGAACCTTACATTCTACGTGGATTTCGTTCCATTCATCAGCCATGGTCTTATTATTTCAAATCTCTTTTTCATAAACATAATGAAACCATGAATGTTTGGAGTCATCTAATAGGAATTTTATATATGATACATTTATTTTTTTATTATAATACAAGATTAAATTTTTTCGAAAATGCTCATTCATGGCCGTTTGCTGTTTCATTGTGTACAGCCATAATAATGTTTATATGTTCTGCATTTGCTCATTTATTTCATTCAAAATCAGAAAATGTTCATATGACATGTTTTTTAATTGATTATATCGGTGTTAGTTTGCATGGTTTTGGTTCAGGTTTTCTACATATTTATTATTCTGCACCACAATGGTTTTATGAGAAAATTGAATACCAATATGTATTTGTTCTTCTTATACTTGGAGTCTTAGCATGTTTTCTTAATTGTTTTGCACAATATTATTATCATCGACCGTATCCGCCGATAAAACGTATTTGTCAATTTTTTCCATGTGGAGTTCTATGGCTTTATTCAATTGCTCCATTATGTATACGTTTATATACATCCAATATTTTATCAAATCCAGCATTAATATGTCATTTAGCACAGATCATTTTATTTCTTGTTGGTGCCACATTTTTTGGTTTTGATTTACCTCAACGATTTTGTCCTGGTCTACTTGATTTTGTTGGACAGGGTCATCATTTATTTCATGTATGTGTTTATTTAGTAAGCGTTTGCCAAATGCATGGTGTCTATTGGGATTATGAAGAGTTTCAAAGTATAATTGATCAACGAAGTAAACCTGAATTAATATTTTGTGCTGGTTCAATGTTTTCTCTAATAGCATGGGATTTTGTTATTGTTTGTTTTTTTCGAAGACGAATTCATAAAACATATCATATAGATTAGAAATAGCTTTTAAAATTTTGTTTAATAAACATTCAATCAAGTATGATTAGTCCAAAACAAAAGAAGAAGACAAACGAAAGCTAAATTATATGATGTTTTTTTCTCAGCCAAAAATGCCAGTAAAAACACATTAATGTTATTTAAATTATTTTCCTCGTTGATTTTCATCATGAACATAATGATGTACTGTAATACAAACAGACCAAGGATCTATTGATCTGTTAGCGAGTGTAAAATAGTGAATATACATGCATGGTAAACTGTCGATGTGTGCTATACCTAATGAACGATACGTACTGAATATTGCTTGAAGTTATCGTCAACAAATCAGTAAAATTTTAAATGATTCAATGAAGAATAGAAAGATTAATTCCGAATTGGCGGAAAAGGCAGAAAAGAAAAACGCCGAAAAGGGGAATGCAGATGGTAAAAACGTAGAAAAGGAAAACGTAGAAAGGGAAACGTCGAATGGAAAACATCGAACGGGAAAGTAGAATTAATAAAAATGCCGGCGAAAACCTATACTAGAGAGAAACGCAGAAAATTCTTGAAAATAAAAATGAAAACGTGAAATGGAAAAGATGTCTATAGATAATGAAATTTTGTTCTTCAGCTCACATTCGTTGCTACTGGAGTCAGTGTGTTTGAAAGTTTTTCTGGAATTTTCAGGATTTTCGAACTTTACATCTGACAACACTAGTGTGTGGGTTCGAGGTGGCGCTAGGATTTTGATCTTGGAGGGGAGGAGGGACGTTGAATCCTCCCTGTAAATTTTTCAGGGGTCTCAACGAGTTTTATGAGCGGCTTGGTTCCTTAATTAGTAAGAGCTTGAACTTGAGGGTGTGGATGTGGGTGTGCGGTGTAGATGTGGTTGTGGCTGTGTCGAAATAGCTTAACTAGCTGGTGGGCTTTATCTTCAAAAGAATCAAAGTGCACAACAGCTTTTCACAAAAGATTTGAAACGCTTAAAACACTGTCCAAGAACGATGAGATCAGCGCAAAAACAACTATTGAAGAAATTAGCATTACTACTTGGATCACACAAAAAAAAGAAAATAATGCTTATTAACTTAGTTTTTTCGTTTTTTCATTGCCTTTTATCATGTGATCCAATAAAATTCTGTTTATCTTTAAGATTATTAAAAAGTTGAATTTTCAACATTTTACTTTTCGACGTTTTCCTTTTTCTGTTTCCTTTCATTCGACGTTTATAATTTCTGTATTTTCCCCTTCTGCATTTACCTTTTCTGCCTTTTCCACCAAACCCAATTGAATGAAGAATTCAATTTTCAGAAGTAAAAAAATAATCTCATATATCAAACCATTTTTCAACACATTTTGGTCAACTAAAACGTTTTTTTTATAGTATTCTTGAAGTGCTATTTCCATTGGAAAATTGTAGTTCTTTTAAGCACCGTACAAGTAAAATAGAATCTTCAATAGGCATATTTGCTCTTTGCCCAACATAAGGCAATGATTGCATGACATAAATCTCCTGATAAACGAATTCTATTACGGTGCCAACCGTTACTACGACGTTGACAATAAAATCGTCCATAATGAAGTAAACTTGTTTTTATCTATTGCAATAATAGTTAGCCAATCTGAACAAAACAATGAGTATGTTCTTTTAGAAAAGTCTCTGCAAACATCTATATTACACGACATATACAGTATAGCAGCACTTTTTTTTCCAAATAGTGAGATTTGTTTTTAGTTGAACGAAAAAGCATTTAATAATAAAAACTACGAGTTGATTCAGCTACAACTTTGTGAATTGAATATTTTCTATGAAAAACTGTTAGAAAGTAATTTTTAGTTTTCATTACAAACATATTCATTATCATATTTTTGCTTGGCAAGAAAATTTACAATAGTAGAATTTAAGAGGACTAAATTAGTTTTCAATGTCTATTACTAACCAATCAAAATTCAAGTTTTAAAATACATAGTGTTGTGATGACGCATCGAACTATGTATTAATAATAAAAACTATTATTGAAAATCATGTCTGATCAAAGTTATTTAATTACTAATGAAAATGATAATCCACCTACATATCAAGATGCGATAAATCAACGTACATAACTATCCTTCGTTTCCATTAAATAAAGAGATCTTAATTTAGGCTATGGAACATTCATCAATCCCAGTACAGCAGCGAATGCTCCACCATATCCTTATACATTTGATTCTCAACAACCTACAGTAGTCGTCATTGGTGGATGTCCAGTCTGCAAAGTTCGCATGTTAGTTTTTTAAAATGATTGTCATAATTGATTTCTTTTTTAGGTTGGCATGTTAGACACTGAATATACTTGTTTTGGTCTATGTTGTGCATTCTTCTGTTTCCCTATCGGAATTCTCTGTTGCTTAGCACTCCGACAACGGCGATGCAACTTTTGTGGAGCTACTTTACATTAAAATATGAATTGAAAGCAAATTGCTGTGTATATATTTAAATATGTGAATCTTGCTAATTTTTAATAATAATCTATTAATAAAAATGAAATACCAAATAATTGTTCGATCTCAATGTAACTAAATGTAATATTTACTTCAGTAATCTAAAAATCTATAACAGATTGTAAAGATAATAAACCATGTGTCTAAATAAAACCTTGTAGCATAATCATCGATTTATACTTAAGTTATTGTAACCTATGATAATATAATAATTATCTACGGTTTAGTAATGCATTAAAAACTATCAATCAGTGATCAGCAAGAGAATAGAGTTGATTTCTAAAAATGAAATCTTATGTATGGAATATTTACAAAAATATTAGATAATAAAATGAAATGCTTATTTGCTATAAATAGAATAATTAGCAGCGATACCTAAACAATATACCTCTATGTATCGATGCACCCTAGAAAGATGAAAATTGTGGTCTCCATGAGAATTATTATCTAGAAAGTGTTTTCGTTCTTACTAATTAAAATATGAATTTCATGTATGAAAAACATGATTGATTTCACATCAGAGACCAATCTAAATTAATTTGATTGAATTACTTTCAGAATTGAATTTATTTGTTCGTTTGGCATTTATATATTGTACATAACATTTTAACTTACTTTCTAATGTTGCTTGAATGGGAGAAATCTTACAGTATTTCGTATGACAGTTTCAATGGTTGCGATTACACTTGATTTTATTTTTACTAATAAAAATAAAAAAGATGCTATTTTCTATAGACTTCGAAAGAGCCATCGAGCGTAAGATAGAAAGTTAGGACAACTGATTATCCTAAGTCGTTTTTACAAGGATCCGATACCAAGGCTGTCCGTAGCATTATAGGGTTCATGAAAACTATTCCGTTTTCACCTAGAATTATTTTCAATGCTTGTTAGATAGTTACGTTTGCCTAACTCTTTATTTCTTCAAACCAGCTTCAACTAGAATCAATTCAACTCTAAGACCCCAAACAGACCAAAAAAATAAAACAGAATTTAGCAACGTGATTGGTTAATTCGCACTTAAGTCATCTTTTTGAGACGATTTAGTGGTTAATTCTGTTTTATCTTTTTGGTCTGTTTGGGGCCTAACTTCTTCCAATACGACATCACCTAGATCTCTTGACCAATAGATAGATATGAGAACAAAGAGAGAGGTAGTGGTCGCAGATAGCGCCACTACCTAACAATGCTAAGTGCAGCTTTTTTTTGTCTTCTGTTTATTCTGATAGGAAAATATTAAAAAAAACATTTGCTTTCTTTCGATGAAGGAGAATCTTTGAATCGATGATGTAAATGAATTGTGACACATTTCAAAATTTTACAGATTCTGAATCGACAGTTCAATACAAATTACACGAGTAATTCTATTAATTGATGTATGATGAAGTATAAGCGTACATAAGAAATAGCCAAAGATGACAAGGGGCTACTTGAAAGTACCACGCATATTCTCATGGAAGCTTTGCGCACTGTATTGTCGTATCTATCTTCAGTTGTATGGTAGGATCAGCGTCTATACTTTGATGCTCACCCAGTTGATGTGCTCTATTTATGACTCTACCCACTCCATTTAGTAAGTTATGACATAACCCCTTCTTAGTAGTATTTGATCATTAATAATTTCTGGTAGTTCTATTTTAACCTTGATTGATTTTGATTTTTATTGATATGTAACTACATCATCCAGCGCATCTTGTTGATAAAAAAAAAATTTTCCTAAAGCTAGAGCAATAGGAACAACCTCTGAAAAGTAATTCAACATTCGGTTAGAATATTAGTTCTTTGAATTTTGTATAAAATTTTTGTATTTCTGAAGCTTTTATGAAACAAACTTCTTTTACTTCTCAATTTGTATTCCTTCTATTTCTCTCTGATATATAAAACAATCTGTTCAAAGGAAGTTAATTCAAATGAAATGTCTGTTAGAGGCAGTGGAGCGTCATTGAACCAGGTGAGGCTGAAAAAACATTTTCTGCGTTAAATTTTTATCAAAGTATTCAGTATAACAACTTTTCATTTTATGCGGCTTCAGTAGAAATCAAAATGATTAACATATAATAAAAATGACTAGGAAATACAAAAAAAGAGCTTCTTTGTCCCTTCTTTCATGCAAAATTTTAATAAAGACTTACCCAGGTCGAGCATTACGACGACTAGATACGGCCGTATTACAACGTTTTGGTATGCACCGTATTACGGTCGTATATGTCAGAACACAGCGACTGTTTAGAAGCCGTATCCGATCGTATACGGTCGTATCATAATTATATTATGTATTGAATACCCAAAAATACCAGAAAAAGTGTAGGGTGAGACAAAAAGAAAAGATTAACAAACAGCAAAAAAAAAGAAAACGAAGCAAAAAAGTGTAAAAGTGTTCACTTCGGTGGTTGGTTCGTTCGATCCATCTTTAGTATGCCACTTGGATTTGTCAGTGGCTAACCTTCCAGAGGTCTGGTTTAGGTTAACCACATCATTGGATTTCTACTTGACATGTCAGGAGATGTGTTTTCATTACTTTCTTCCTATTTAGATGTTGTTTTTCTTGCAGCAGTCGCGGGCACAAGACCTCACATGTCCTGTAATTCCTTGCGGCTTGAATTTCTTTTTACAATTTGGGCATCCACAAAGTTTGTTGTTATCTTTCACCAAAACTTCGACCACTTTTCGTGGTGCTTTTCCTTGATCAGTTTTCTTCTCCCTCGATCTTCTCTCATCAGCTCTGGACTTGTATTTTTGAACGATTGGTTTGATCCTTGAGTTAACAGGCTTGGTTTCTATTATAGTGTTGATCTTTGCTCGCCATGAGTCTCTGTCAATCGTCTCTCTTCTCCAGTTTTTCACATTGGACTTTTCCAGATCTTCTATGATCTTGTGTTCCCATCTTTTCCTAACACCAACATTTCCAGGTCGTTTCTCGTTGGGAAGATACGAGAAGATGGTTTTCTTCACTAAAGTAGCTGCGTCTTGATCATCTACCATTATATTCACGTGTCCAAACCATCTAAGACGGTTTCTTCTCATGATTTCCTCGACCGCCGGCTGCCCTGTAATCTGGAGAATTGCTTGATTTGGTGCTCTATCACCTAGATTCAGCCCCACTAACGTTCGGAGACATTTCATATAAAAAGTAGCAAACCGTTTTTCCTGTGCTACAGTTGGACACCATGTTTCGCTGCCATACAAAAGAACTGGCAAAACACATGATCTGAATATTTTAAGTTTTGCTGAAATGGAGACGTTCTTTCGATACCAAACCACATTTCGCAACATGTTGAAAGCAGTTGTTGCTTTGGTTAATCTTGCTTCCAATTCCATTTTCATCTTCTGGTCTCTTGAAATTGCACAGCCAAGATAAGTGAATTTGTCGGTGATTTCCACTTTTTGATTTCTGATTACAATGTTAAGGTCAGGATGTTGAATTTTCTTCTGCTTGTTAAGTTTTCCATTCGAGTCAACTTCAAACTCCTCCATAGACATGGTCATCGTCTTCTTCACACTCATTGTAAGTTCATATTTTTGTGTGATTTTTTCAGACGTCAGAATAAATTTGTCCAGGTCTTGCAACGAGCTGAACATTGCGACTAGGTCGTCAGCATACATCAGTACCCAAAGTTCAAATAATTCGTATGTTTCACCTTTTCCGTGGAAAAAATCACTGCTCCCGTGGGCCAGTTTAACACCTTCTATTACAGCTTCTTCTAAAACTTTTCGAACGATGAAGTCAAAGGAAACGTTGAACAGAATTGGCAATAACTGAATCCGACTATCCATGTAAAAAAAATAAACGCAAAAATCAACATATATATGATTGTCATCGATCCGCAGCTCCAATAATCGATGAAAACCTAGCAATTATGGTTTTTTTGATTAATTTTAAAATTACAATCGACTTTTTCACGTGCTCGATTTGGAATCAATGTTTTTTCATCGATAATCATCGGTTTTTCCCTAGAATTGAATAAAGTCGAATAATACGAAGTATAATCGCTTGTTTATGACTATTTATTAATTAGTTATAATCAATTTTCAGAAATAATCGATTTTCATCGGTCACTGATGACTCTTTCAAGATTAAAATTAAGTGATACCGATTATAATCTACCAGAATCGATTATCTTTCCGAATCAATTAGAATCATTAAACTAAGAATCATCGATAATCTAGTGATATTGAGTGTAATCTACCAGAATCGATTAGCTTTCGAAATCAATTGTAATCATTAAAATTAGTATGACCTGAAATCAAGTGATAGCGATTATATTATAATAGAATCTGTTAGACTTTGGAATCGATTATAATTATTAGACTGATAATCTTCTGAAATCAGGTAATACCGATTATATAATCTACCACAATCGATAACATTCTTGATTCTCTGAAGGTGCAGATATCCTTTATCGTTGTGTACATGAGTAGGCAAATTAATATACGTTATAAGAACAATAGAATACAAGTGAAGAGAAATGAATAATAAATTATTCAGTGAAATGGAGAAGTGTGCTGATGAACAAATCCAATGGTGATTATTATGGAAAATTTTTTTTATAATAGTGGCTATCTTTCATGTATTTTTTATAAAAAAAACGAACGTAAAAGATTAATTATAGTCTTCTATCAAAAACCTGCACGTGTCTTCATAATTTAAAAAACAAAATCAATCAGTAACAAAACTTATTACCGCAGGTTTTTTGCATTGTTTTTCACAATCAAACTAACGCCTCGATGAGCTCTATCTATAGATAGAGCTCATCGAGTTCTGTCTGGCACGCTACGTTCAAGAAGTGACACGATTGATGGGACGAATCGCCCCAGGAAAAACTCGAATCTGTCGCTAACCTCCCTTACATTTCCTTTTAACATTCTAAGCCATAAGTGTTTTTTTAAATGACATGCAAAGAAACGAGTATCAGTACCACAATGAGTAGTCATGTTTTAACTAGTAAGTAAATCTCCAAAGAAACATACCAATGAGTATCTCGCCTGATTAATCTCAAAGTATACATACACACGAAATTCCGCCAATAGTTGCCCATGGATCTGAATATTCATCTGGCAAGCCGTACTCGCTGGATTAGTATTAAATTACACTGGCAAAAAAGTGCTGAACTAATCCTTTGAATTTTCGTATAAATACCCAGTAACCAAAAGTCGCCTAATCTTAATTATTTTCTCCATTGACTTATTTATGATTCAGTTTGCAATCGAGCTTGCATATCACATTACCGTTTCTAAACTATCTATTTTTCTATATGGAGCTAATTGTTTGGGCAAGAGAGAACACTTAACTTATAGAGCAATCAAAGTTTCCTCTCTAAACTTGTTAAACCATTAACATATTGCCGAAAGAAACGTAGTGTCTGCTTAATTAAATTTTTTCTATATTTGTATTTTAAATATTATTATAACGTTATAACTGTTTTTTTTATAGCCTTTACAGTGCATATTAGTGAAAATATTTGTCATCGCAAATTGCTGCCCTCCATTCGTATTATATGATGAACGTTTCATGCCCAGATCTATATTCTTCATACATTTATCTTTGTGTCCGTTTGTTATGATCACACTGTTCTTATTTTAAAACAACACGACATTTCTTCACTTCTACTTTAACACAGGTAACACAGACAAACATACGGGTTAGTAGTAGCCATAGGAACATATGTTTCGATAAATGAGTATAAGTCTATATTTAACAGAAACACATACGCAAAGGCTCATAAACATATACGTGTAGGGGTTTAAACATATCTATTTAGAAGTTCGATATTGAGGGGGCGAGAAAACAACTAGATAAGAACATGCAGTATATTATAAGGGGTTTCAGGATAAGTACACTGAACAAAAAGGTACGATACGGAACTTTAAGGGTTTCGTGGTACTTAGCTATGCTTTAGAAAGTTTCTTTCGCACATACAAAACTTGAAAAGAGTTTACTATCATGTAGAGTTTCGTAAAGAACCTTTGTCAAGGTTTAGTATTTAAGGAAGTCTCGTGATAAAATTTTTCCAGTATTGAAAATTGGAAAGGTTTCGTAAAATACTCCTATAATTTCATTTCAAAACATGAGTATTAAAGTAGATATACCTGGCCAAATTTCGCTTTTGATTGAGTTGAGTAGAAATCAAGCACTACCTGTTCCTCTATCAATCATATTCTGAATTGAGTAAAATATTTTTAGCGTGCAGTAATCAAAACAAATCTAAACGGTTGAACTGCTGATGATTATAAAAAAAGAAGTACTGCATTTCAATTTCAAATCACAATAAAACTAATCGCGTACGTTCTCTGTTGACGACCTCTACATTCGCTTAAGTGAAGCGGTTCAATAAAGGTATGGAAATAACTTTGCAGTTGGACTGCGACTAAACTGGTGAGCTATGAGCCATATATACACAATGAGATTAGTTTATAGAGGTTGGATCAGATCAAGGTTGAGGAAACTAGGTAGAAGGTCAGATTAAGATCAAGGAGGTAAATTAAGTGCTCTCCAAAGGCAATTCGTTTCATAGAAAACCAAAACGCACTCGGATAATTATTCGGGAATCATTAGAGGCTTGTGAGATGATTTTCGGAGTTGGACGTCGCTTCTGTAAATATCATATTGGTTGTTGATAGCTCGGAAACCCTTATATTCCCTAAAAAAATCATATCAACACTCGTAAAGTGTTTTGGAATCTCTTTTTATTGACATTCGAAACCTAATCGTATATTCAGAAATTTTCAGAGTATTCTCGGAAGCTTATACTGCCAAAATCTTTAGTCGAAATTTTATGAAGTATGTGGAAATATCATTTCAGTTTCCGAAATATTTTGCAGCAAACCGTAGACTTTTCATATATTCTCAATCTCAAAATGTAGAATAACGTACTAAAATACGATCTCAAGTTTTTATTTGTTACAACAAAAAGCCTCTAGATCTTTTAATTCTGTTAGAATTTCCCGGAAAATAAAAGAAATCACAGTCCTGAAACGTCTCAGAGAGCTTTTTGTAGCATTCCAATCTTTTTTTTTCATCTTTATCATTGCTCAGTTTGAGATGTATTTGGTGAACTAAAACTGACCACAATATCAAGTATAATCTATTGGACCAAGAAGCATTCCCTCTATGAATCCTATTATTTTTCAAATCTGAAACCATTTTAATACTATTGAAAAACCCTATATCATATATCCGTTCTTGAACTGTTCTCGACTTCGAATACAATTCGATACGAGTGAAATGGTAAGTTAGAATTCAATAATAACAACCTGATTTATGCATTGTCTTTTGTTTTAGGTTCTTGTCAATACGGTCGAAATAGTCAATTAGGAATAGACAGATAGTCTGATACATTAAGGTTGATGGTTTAAGCTAGAGAGATGGACTAAGATTAAGGAAATAGATTACGTTTAAGGGGATATATATATAGATAAGGGGTAAGTTAGAGAAAAGATATTTATTAAATCGACATGTGTAAATAAGATAATTTTCGATTGTGTGAATCTGCTAGAGATTACATACATAAGGCGCTGTATGAAATAGAATAAAGGATAGTGAAAGGCATAAGTTTCTCGGTACCAATTCTGCGAGTGTAGGTAGGTCACATTAGAATCGTGACAGAGTTTCAACAATGAAATCATTTTGAGTGTAAATTAAAGACGACTTGGTCTTTAGTAATAAACGATAGCCAGAAAGATCAAACCCCTTTCAAAGAAAAAACTATAACACTCTTTACAGTACTTCCCATAAAAATAATTGATTGCACAAAACCTCCATATTCCTGGGTTATAATACGAGTTTCCTTTTAATATAAAGCTGAGTTGTTTTTCGCTATTTCTTCCTTTCGCTTCAAAACGAATATTGAGGATAAATCTTGTTTTCAAACCAAGCCATTTTTTTTTGTTTTGCTCCATTGATTCAAATAGAATATATTCAGACTTATTTTTCGTTTTGATAGCGATTATTTTCATTGATTTCTTCCTTTTTCTCGGAGACCAGTATCACCAGTTTGTTTAGCAGGAAATAAGGAAGTAGAAGTATATTTTATTGCGAAAGTAAAAATTCTGAATAATGTAATTTAGAGAATACTGATGAATTCTTGAGAAAGTACTTTCAAGAAAGTAAGAATAAGTCTAATCTTGCTAATTGTAAATCAGCGTTACTGGAAGTAATTGATGGGATATTATAATGTGCCTGATATCGATCTCGAACCATCACAGCTACTTTGAATCAGCTGTTAGTTGATTTGTGATTGATTAAAAACAGATAAAAATCAACTGAAACTTTTTGTAAGCGGTAGTATTGGGAAACAACTGTTGTGCCGATTATAACCGATTTTAGCTAATTAAAATAGATTCTGCATCAATTAAAAATCGATTATAACCATATACCTTTTAATCAATTATTAATTGAATAGGAATTGATTACAATCAGTCTTAATCGATAATAATCGATTTTTAATCAAAACAGTAATCGATTTTAATTTGACTTTACCTCTATTGTTTTACATGGGTACTGACCTCACAATTACTAATATGTACCAGGACTCGGTACATGCTTACTCACGAATCTCAATGACACTGTCTCCGCGAAGGGTGCCAATAGTTTATAGCTTTCTCTAAATAAAAACGGCGAAGTTTCTCAACACATATTGTCACTATAGTTTTGTGTTCGTAAAATTCTTTATAAAACTGAAAACAAATGGATGCTGTCAAAGTTATGAATAACTTCTACAACATCTAGAAATAAGCATAATTTTAGAAAGATCCTAATTAAAGAAAAACTTCGTTTTTTACGAAAACATGATCTTTGGTAGTGTTATTATGATTTATTGCAACTGAAAACATGCAAGAGCTTGATCTTTTTCATCACTTAATGATTGTCTTTTGGTGAAAAAAAAACAAAGAGTATCAAAAACGATTGAGCAGAACTCTGCTTCTGGACTATTTCCTTTTCAACAGACAAGGATGTAATTGCTATGCGCTTTGCTAGTACTTGATAATTATTACAAAGTGTTTGTTCAATACAGGTGATTTTTTTGCTGATTCTCTCTCTCTCGTGTTTAGAATGAGAAAGCATAAAAAGAAAAAGAAATACTGTACTTAATTTGTGAGCATGTGGGTATCCTACAGGCAATAACTCTCACCGAAATTCTTAATTACATTTGAAATTGAATTGATAATGCCAGCCATCGAACTTTATTCTGATTTCATCGGTTCTATCGGTGTCTTTCTTTCTCTCATTTTTTTAATTGAAGAGAAAAAAATTCCTTTAAACTATCGCCAGTCATATATTTTTCTTTCTATTTCTGTTAACAACAAATCCTTCAAAAGTTGTTCTCGTATGTATTTACTCAAAAAAACCTTTTTCTTTTCTCTTCTGCAACAGTAATAACCGTTAGTGTGGCATCGTTTGCTGTGGCGCATATTTTTGATTAAATCAAAATTGTTCGATCATGTTTTACTTTCGTGGGATGCGGCATGGTGTACGCTCATATTCTACTTTCATCTTAATATTTACTACAATCGCTTCAACTTCTCTTGCTTTGCATTTATATCGTAAAAATAGTTATCGAAAAGAATTAACTCAAAATATATCATCAGCAGCTGTTGTACAGCCAAAAATATTAGCTACGTCAATCACAGCAACAGCAACAACAACAACAACAACAACAACAACAACAACAGAAAAAACGACGCATACAGGTAATACAACTTTGAAGATAATCAAATAAATCTCATTATAATGCTTTCACACATATTAATAATAATTTGTTAATAAATAAAATACAGTCTATGTGGAGCTATAGTAATAGAATCATTTACTCTTTTCAGCTTTTTTATTTTATGTTAAAAAGTTATAACTCTATATAGATATATACATTTGCGTCTGAGTGATGATTTATTTTACGCGACCAGGTAACCTAAGTTAACTTTTATCATAATGAAAACTATATAAATACATGTATATTTAGGAATTCAGAAAAATAAAATTTTTAGTAAATATTATCTTTCATTAATTATTGCAGTTTAAAAATATATCGCATACATATTCACTCTTTCTTCAATATGTCGCAAGGGCATTGATATCAAATATAATGTTCTATGGTTAAAAAGAAAAGCGTACATTTTGGTCCAACTGATGCATGAAAAAACTTTCAGAATAAATGTCTTGCCAATTTTGTTGCACTTCTAAGTTCCTGCGATGAATCAAAATTTATTCGGCTAACACCAGGATTTTATTCTACTTCTAACTTTTTGTTCACAGCTTACTGCTTATTTAAATCAAGTGAAAAGAGAATAGAATTTTTGGTAGCACCTATTGTGACACTTAAATACTCAACCATTTGAGAGAACGGAGAAGAATGAGAGATAAAGGTAATAGGTAAGATGAAAAGAAATGGCACTATAACGCCAAACATCATGTATAGATTGTACTCGAACGGGAATGTTACACGCCCGGATGGAATTTGAACGCTCTCCGGATATCACGTTACACCTATAATACGGCGTTTATAGAAAAAAAATGAATAAAAAAATGTTGATGAATCTATTTGCTCATTTTTCAAGTGATACGTCTTCAATGAGAAGTTATCTTAACAAATAATATCGTCGGATAGGATGATAAATCTGCCCCGCCCCGCCCCACTCCAGATTTCAATTTCAATACCGTAGAAAGGTAGAGAATGAAAAACTGCATCTATCCGTATATTGTGTGAAAATTTTCTACATACTATTTTATTGCTTTGAAAAGAATGTAGAGCTTTCATTATTACGAATGAAAAGAATTCTCTGTCAAAAAGCAAAGTTTCTAAACTTGCTTTATAAAATGAACTTTATAGTAGACCTAAGATAGACCGTTTTTGTTTGTTGCTTTTGAATACTCTAAGAAAATCTTTTAAATGTAGTAAAATTCATATTTAGATCACATATAATACATTTAATTACTGTGTTTAATATAGAGAAAAATCAAAAATAATCAAAATATTTTTTAATAGATCCACCAAAACCCATAGTCACATCGGTGATAGATCAACAACCAGTAATCAATATTGAAAAGAATGTTTTTGCTAAATATTCAAGCGATGAACATCTACTTTCACTTCTTCAACAACAATCAAATACACTCAAACAAGTTATTATAACTATAATTGGTGGTGATAGTTATTCTTTATTTGCTTGGGATTGGTACGAACGAATACATGCAATATCAAATAATACTGATAAATGCCATTGTTTTATTGTTGCTATGGATGAAGTTTCTGTTGTTTTAGCAACACAACAGGGTATACCGGTATATTATTCAACATTTACATTTGAACAACAAATCAAATGGATAAACACTATTGAAACACGGCAACATTCACTTTATCGTGTTGGTCATGCGAAATTTCAGACAGCTGCTAAAATTGTTGCAATGGGTTACTCAGTAGTTCTCAGTGAAATGGATGTATTTTGGTAAGATTTAACTATTATTAGCGAAGAAGAAAATTAATTTGTAGATTTTGTTTCAGGAGAGCAAATCCACTTGAACATTTAAAAAAACCAATTGACATTTATGATTTACAAATAAGTGATCATTTTGGTTCTCATCCAAGAGTTAATATTGGTTTATTTTTTGTTCGTTCGACCAATTCTTCTATAGAGTTCTTTTCTTATGCTGCAACGTTTTGGTTGAATTATGGTAAAGGTGCTTATTTATCTGATCAAAGAGTACTTGATGCTTTACTTAAGAATTATGATCGTCTTGATAGAACTTATTTAAAAGCAGTTAAACCATTTCCATCACTAAACTGGACAACTCATGCATTTGGAAATCATTTTTCACATCTAATGACTGATGGTAATGCTTTCATATTATTTAATCAAGCTGCAAAACTTGGAATAAGATCTAAAAAATATCATGGCAGTGTAAACGGGAAATTTTTTACAGTTACAGTACCAAATACGTAAGTGAACCCAATAAATCAATTTTCTGCAATAAAACAAAATTAATACTTCGTGTTTATATTTATTTCACAGGAATATGGCTATTAACTATCGAAATCTTCTTATTCGTTCTTTACTTATATTACAGCATACATATCTAAAAGATCGAACATTAATTTTACCGGCTTTTACATCTGATTTAGATGCTACTACGATTTTTTCTCAATTTGACGTAAAAAAATTTCTTCTCTATTGGTCTGATGAACGTATTCGTTTACCGAATTTTCTTCTTCACGAGAAAACTCGTACTATACCTGTTACGAATATTTCATTTTCATCAAAAGCCACCTACGAAGATATTAATGGAATATTAAATTTTTCTGTAGACTCAATACCAATTAATTTACCAGCACCTTCAACGCAATTCGAAGTGTTGATTAGAGATTCTCTCCTATGGTGTTCACCACCAATTGATGGTGGTAAAGGATGGTGTATTCATCATCCAAGAGATTTCGGTGCAACTATGGAATTATTATTTGCCTGTCGAGGTGATCCATATCCACCATGTGCAAATAAAACAGAAAAAAATGAACAATTTCTTCATAGACCGTTCGAATAGGAAATACAGAGCGAGATGTAATTAGTTGAATTTTTTTTCTTTTATCAGGGGCTCAGATAAAGAAAAGAATCCATTTATTGATTAGAAAATCATTTTTTTGATCTACGTTTGAGTTAGTATTATGTCTATACAATTTTTAATATTACTAATATTTATTTTATAGTTGTGATGGTGAAAAATGTTTTCCTCTGGTCTTGCCTTTATGTTGTGCACTGGGTTGCTGTATGAAGGCAGTTTTCTTTCATCCGAATATGTTAACAGATAACTATGATCAGATGAAGATCCCGATAGAGCTTTTGTCTAATTCAGACTTCTCTCATTCTATTGCTTGAGATTCGTATACATTTTGACTATGATTCCATGCTAAATTTCTTTTATGACCTACTTGAGATATTTTTACAAAGAATGATAACAAGGTTTAGATAGATTAAGTTAAGCGTGTGTATTGAAAAAAGATAAACCATGAACTATAATGATCTTTCTATGATAATGACTATTATGCTGTTGGATATCATCTTTTTCTACCACGAAGATTTTGTCGTTATTATGATGGAAGAATAAATAGTTGTGTCACTTCAGCATACGAAATATTTCAGTGGATGAATGATGATTTGAAATTCGAAGAACTTTAGTTCGCCATTTGATATTCCTTTAAACTAAATCATTTTCTTCATATTTATTTTGTTATCGAATATTCAATAGTTTTCCATGTATCTTATTGTGTGATCAACTGTAATAAAACACCAATGCGCAATTCAAATATAGCTGTTGTCAGATGAAATAGTAGTTGTAATGTGAAAGTCTCATCGACTAAGTATTACAAAATAAACATCTGCTTAATATTCTTTATAAGCATTATTGAATTAAATCGTACCTACAGAGAATGCCAAAAGGCAGACCAAACAAACGTTTGTCCTCGTTCCTCGATAAAGACTGTTACACCTTTTTCGATCATCTATGCCACTTTGTTTTTAGCTAAGGCAATCACTCACTATTGTCTTATTGTCTTTTTCTCATGATTTCGAACAGTCTTTTGTCTTGTTAATTTTCGTGTAAAAGGTCCGTCGGGACAGATTGCACTATATAAGATAAGACGGTCAGCGCCTCATGGCGAATTTGTCACAATAAATAAAGCGGTTTAAAAAGAAATGTGAAAAAGTCTATAATAGATAATGTTTTGAATAAGAAAGAAACTCGAGTTTTATTCCATTTGATTACATTATATTTGCAGAATAGTTGAATATTTTATGAAAGTTTGAAAAGTGAATTTTGAAATGATTTACACTCTTTTCGTTATTTTGTTGAGCCCATAGATTATATTTAGTTTTATTAAATTGAACTTTTACAGTTCATCTTATTATGAAAATCGAGAATAACAATAGATACATAAAAAACTGAGCGTGGCAAAACTAAGTCAATTAATAAATAACTTGCTTTTTGGACTATGATTGGATTCAGAATAATAATTTTCTCAGTAGTTGTATTTTTTTGTAAATATACTTTCTGCTACGCATCATCAATTTTCTTTGGTATATCGCAACAGCAAAAAATCGATTTATAAAATTTGTTGCAAATTTATCAATGCCGCTTTGCTACTGCATAATCAATGATACTAAACATAAAGTGATTTTAGAATAGTATAAATAACATATTCAATTGGCATAAGTAGTAGCAGAAAGAACTAGAAATTACTAGATTACGATAGTTCATGGATATACGTATAATCATAAAATGAGCAAACAAATAATAATAACAATGATAGAAATTAGCAAGCAATCAATTTAAATCCGATTCTTTTTGTTATTTTTTATTTTCTACAAGGATAATTAATATAGTCATTAAGTGTGTCCTTGGATTTCTGCCTCTCTTTTATATTGCTTCTTATTGTGGGAACTTTAATTAGCATTGCGCTTTTCACACAATACGCATATATGCCTTTAGTTAGTATAATAAATAAAAAAAGAAAGTTATTTTAATTTCAGCAATATAAATAATAATACAAAACACTATATATTATAATAAAACATTATAATCTTGACAACATTTGTTTTTCTTTACACATTTTCTTCAGTTTATTCTTCAACAATAATAATAGTAGATAATCTTACGAAAATATTTTGTTAATATTCTCATACTATTGAGTTCATTTTTGCAATCCTATGCTCGCATATAACTACATGGCGCACTATGATTTTAAGAGTAAATAAAAGCAACTATATCAGCATCATATTGAGACTCGTTCACAACAACAAGTACCTTGTCAATATTAATCTTCAAAGATACAACGTATGGTATCAAGATTTGACATTGTGTTATGTTGATTTTAATTTTAAAACTTCTACATGTAAATTTAGTCGAAATAACAATATGGAACACACAAGTTTCACTAAATTAGTAATAGCAGATATTATTTTTTACAATCTAAATCACAACATTTTCAATCAGCACGATACATGCCCGTTAGAAAATAATGCAGACAGATGATTCTAATATAGGTTGACTAATATCATCATTTTCAAACTTGTCCCTGTATGTTCTTTAAACTTTAACAAAATTTTGTTGTCAGTACTAATTGGTACTGATAAATTCTAGATTAAAACAATAGGATTTGTTACTAATCTATGTAAAGTACTTATACTATTAAAACGAGTGGATTCAATCAAGTATATTAGACGCAGTCAGGAGTGAATTCAAATTGAATTGAAAATAGTTATAATCAGTTGTATACGAAATAAGTGGCGTTACAAAATAACAAAGAGATAAATGACCATCAAAAATTAAACAAAATAGAAAGTAAAGGAAGTATATAATTACTCCATAAAGGAATTCAAAGCGAAAAAGTGTGCTTTTTTTCAACAGCAGAACTTTTTTTTCTGTTTTTGGGTGGAAACCAAGGAAAAAATTAGTAATACTTGATACTTCTAGTTATCTCTGCAGTTCTGTAGTAGGCTTTCTATCATTGAAGGATTTACACTTGTAATGCTAAGTATGATAAAACAGCTTACTCTGAAACCCCTTCGTCTAAAGAATGATGGAACTGTGTGAATTATGACTGAGAACTCAACACCGAAAATTTACTAACTACTCACTACTTCGTTTATTCATTGAGAAAATTTTACAAAATTGAGTTCTAATATGTCAAACTTTCCAATTCATTATTCATGGAAATAAATTTATTAAATAAGAGCGAACTAAAACTGTACGAGACATTTATTAACAGTTTTGAGTATAAACTTAGTTATATCCCACGAAAATAAATTTATCAAAAGTCATTTTACACTGTAGTTTTTTTCTAACATTCTTAACATGAATAGTTTATAAATTTACTTTTTAATTGATAGAACTCATACAAAGCAGTCATTATAGGGTACTTTACGTGAAGTATAACTTTGAAGAGCATAGACTCCCAATGGTAAAAAACGACATTAGAATTATTTCAGCAATCTTAAAACTTTGCCTGGATACTTTGATTTCTGATGAACTTTTTTTTCACTCACGCTATTTGATAAAACTCCAATGAGACTCTTCTTTACCGTCACAAAATTAGTTCTGTAATAGAAGAGAGTTATACCATATTTTATTTCATTTTAATGATAATATACGTAGGTTGTCTGTGATTCAACTGTATTTCAAGTCTTTCTTGATCTTCTCCAAGTCGATTTGTTTGTCTAGAAAAACAAATACTACTTTTCCATAAAAAAATGACTTAATTTCTGCATATACAGAGTACACAAAACGATCTATTAGTGCCTAAATAGCTGTATATTATTGGTTACTTTTAATAGTTACTGACTGAAATAATAATATTTTGTAGCATACTTTCATCTTTCGATATACAAACATATGAATGATTTATAAAGATGCCTAGTTTTTTTACATTTAACTTTATTTATGTCATCGTACTGATTTCACGGAAGCCAATGTTCATTTATTAAAAAAAAAGCATAAGTAGACGGATATTTGTTGAATGAAGCTTTGTAGAAACAAGTTAGTATGCTGTGTTTTTTATTGTTAGAAATAACAATTCTAATTTTATTTTCAAATACATTCAAGGATTCTCTAAGATGCTTTCTGAAGTTTCTCAATCGATATTCTAAAATAAGTAAGCGAAAAATGATTCGTGAAAAATAGAAAATGATAAAAATCTTGTACTTTTTATTTTTATATCATAGATTATTTAAAAATATTGTCTGAGGTTTGATTTGAATATTTTTAGCCGCATACAGATAACAATTTGAAACTACGACATGTGTATAGTTTTGCTGATCCATGATTCGTGCTTCGAATCTAAATCATACACTAGAATATTGACTGTAATGACTTTCAAGACTATTTGGTTTTTTAGGAACATTGAATGAACATCTCCATAAAGACTAACGTTAAAAATGAGTGACCTAGCAAGGATGCAGTGATAATGTATATATACATATATATGAAACAAGAGTCCAGGATAAAAATCACTACTAACTGGTGCTAAGCAAGTGTTGTTGGTGTTTCACTATTTGAAAAAAAATGAATAAAATAGAAGTAGGGTACCAATAAAAAGAGAGATAAAATTTATTTTAGATAAATCATAATTTAGAATAGTAAACAAACCTTACTAGTGCCACTATTTTGATTACTAATAAATAATAATACAGGTTGCTTCAATTGAATGACAACTTTTTCTATACTCTTCAATATCATATGTACAATGTCGATGAGCAAACACTACTTTCTCTCTGCATAACATAAAGATTTGATCGATGAATGTCTGCAATTGAATTTTGAAGAGGCACTGTTTTATATGTGAATGATTTTCATAAGAAATTCTCTAAGCATTTCTATGAAGATCAAACTATTCAGTTGCATTTGTCTTTATCTAAAGGAAATCTTGCATCTAACTTAAATATTTCGCCATTTGCTACTACTTTCGTAGTATTTAATCTGACAAAATTTTGAATTATCAAAGAAACATAAGAGTACAATAAATGCTCAAAGCGTTTGATCTAATCTAAAAA